TTTTTTTTTTTTTCCCCTCAATTTCCCCCCCTCCCCTGCCTGTCTAACTGCTAAGTGATTCCAACTTCAATAACATTTTCACATATTACTTTTGTCTATTACTTTTGTTTGTGAAGTCTGTGGATCTGGAATGATGTCTCAGTAACAATTCTGTGTAGTTTTAAATGTGGAGCCTTATTTTTCTTGTTTCAGTTGCAGATGATCCTTTACCTACCTCTTTGATATTTTCTCCTGGGTTGTAGTTGCTGGAGGTAAGACCTGTTAGAGGGGAGACATAATGAAATGTTTTACTATTTAGAAATTATTAACTCAAGCAAGTAATTCTCATGTGCCATAATGCTGTAGCTGGCAGAAGTCTTGAACTGGAATGTTCAAGGGTAAYATCTGTTCCTTCCCAAACCATCCATTTCTATTGATTCTGCACTTTCTGAAAGTATTGATGTTTTGTAACACTGCTGATTTGTTTTGTCTGCCAGCTCCTCTTAGGCCAATCTTCTCCTTGCCCTGGTTTTGCTATCTGGAGGTAAAATTCTTTTGGAAATTTTGCTGGGTAGAGCTGAGCTGCAGGCATGGCTTCCCCAGTTTCTCCAGCAGGTTTCCCCAAAGTCACAGTGAACCAAATGACAGCTATTTGTTGCCTGTGCATGAAGCTGCATTTCAGCAAATACCTGGGAGCTGGGGTGCAATATCTGGAGGTGCAAACCATGGGCTTGGAGCCCTCACCTGCTTTGTTCTCCTCGCTCAGTGTTCCCAGGAGCTCTGGCAGGAGCTGGAGCAGGGAGGAGCTCCCAAGGGTGCCCAACCTGTCCACGTTTAACCTCGAATCTTCATCAGCTGCAAATGGAAGCRACAGAAACAGGCACAGGGTGAGTCTTTTTGCTTTGAATCCCTGTCTCAGTCTGTCTCACATCATTTCTGGTATGGTCTGTTGGCCGCCCCTGTTGAAGATTTTGATGAAAGCACCAATCATCCACCCATTATTAATTATTATAATGGGGGATAGTTGGTTTTGTGCTTTTTCCCTCCAAACTTTTGAGATCACATACTTTCCTGATGTTAATCTCAGATTCTCATTTCTCTGGCAGATGATTTATTGGGAAAGTTTTTGACCAACAGCAGCCCCTCCTATGACTTGAGGTACTCAACCTCATCCTTCCAGTACACAGCTGACACTTGTATATATATTTATMTTTTTWAAATTTTATTTTGGTCCATTTCTTTATCAACTGGTTCCTATGCTGGAGCTTTCCTATGAATAAAGACAAGACTTCCTGTTCAAGACATATAATTGAAAAACTGAGYAGGTTGTTAAATGCAATAAAAGGGGTGGAAGGGCAAGAATAAAAGTAGGAAAACTTAAAACTTATTTTGGCAGCTGTACTTCTCAGTGCATTTCAATCATCTCTAATTTAATATATGTACTACTTTTTCCAAAACAAYACCTTGCTGGTAGCTGATAGAATTAAACTGCCTATGCAGAGAGAGTTTAGAATTCTGTGGCTAGCCTGTGCCCCGTGGCAYGTTGCCAACAGAAACCCTTAGCAGTGCTGTATTCCAGGTAATTCTGGGTTTTTATAATCTGAGCATTAAATTTCATCTTTGTTAATGTATAGCAGACATCCAAAATAGTGAACAAGAGGGTGTCGTTTTCAAACACTGTGGAGATTAATATAATTTTGTAGTTGTAGATACAAAACTATGGAGTTTCAGTTGCTCTGACCTGCAGGGAGGGGTGTGACTGCGTAGTTCCTCACGGGGAATAGATAAAAGAAAATAAACTGCTGAAAATTATCTCTCAACACTTCAAAAACTTGCACAAAAATCAAGAATTGGAAGACCTCGGGCACCCATGGTATTAGTTTGTTCAGTGCATAAAAGGGCCATTGCAAAGGACAGAGGGGATTTCATTGTAAGACTCAGAATAAGAATAAAGTAAATTCCCAGTGCTGTGTGGGGACAATCCATATCTCTGATCTTGGATTATTCTTTAAATCAAAGCAGTGCTAGTGGGTAAATTTGCTTTGAGATTTAAAAAAAAAAACCCAAACCCAACCCTCTTTAAGAGAGTTCCTCTCCTATCTCACCAGAGAGTGAGACACCAGATAAGAGTCCTAGGGACTCTTAATATTAGCAAGGAAGATTTAAGAAGCACAATATCCTGAAACTAATGCAATAATGGCTCGAGCTAGCTTGTTCACCCTATGATGTGACAGATATTACTCACATTGAGTCAGAGCTACCTGTAAATTCAAGTTACGTAGTGAAGGGCTGGAGAAGATGCTGCCACAGAGAGTCCAAGATTTTCAAAGCAAACTGGGGACTATTGATACCTATAAACCAGCAAAAGAGCTGTTGCACCAGCAAAGCAGGTAAGAACAGCCACTTTTTAATACTCAGCTTTATGCAATAACTTTTGRGTTGATTTGCCTGTACTTTCAGAACTCATTTAATAAAGTCTTCCAGTWCAAGCCAGGCCTGATGACAGTAACCTTCCAGATATTGCTGTGCATTTTTACTGAGCCATTTCAAACTTTGAGGATCGATTTTTCAAGCWAAGATTTATTCTTTTCCTGGGCTGAACAGAATCTGAATTAGTGCAAAAAACTAATATGCTCAATATATGGGAGTGTAAGACAGATTTGCCTGTTCTTGATGTTCACAATTGGTTTCCCCATTTTTAAACACCAAACAGCTCATTTCAAAGGGTAGAAAGAGGAGAGGCCATAAAGCCAAGTTTCTTTAGTTTACCCAACACCTGTGAATGCCCAGACAGACTCTGATATCAGCTCACAATCAGTGCTGCAAGGCTCAGGTTTTTTCTCCTCTTTTCTTTCYGGGATCACAAAGCAGCAGAGATAAATATTGAGGGCACCCAACMTTTCCATTGCACAAKTCCAGCACCYWCTGCTCTGTCCCTCGTGCTGCTGATGTCCTGAAAGCATTYCTGCTTTTCCTACAGCTGAGCAGCACAGATTGAGGCCCCTTGGAAAGCACACCTGCTCCTTTTCTGTTTTTTGCAGATCCAACCCCTGCTTTAGCACCGTTAAAATCAAAATACTCTTACCTGAGAGYTGATAAGACATCTCACTGGCATTGAGGATGGGGAGAGATGAGAGAGGGCAGGARAAGCTGACGAGAATGAGACAGCAGAGGATCAGTTTATGCATCGTTGCTGTGTTGGATGTTTGGTTTTGGCTAACCCTGTAACTCAGAACTGTCTGACTGTAGCTCAGCTCCCAGTTTCACCCATTATATAGCCACTCATGACCTCATAAACATCATCATGTTCTCTCCCCCCCCTTCAAAAAAAAAAAAAAAATCTGATGAATTTATTGCCCATTGATTCTAAATGGAAACCACTTTGCATTGATGTAATTTTTCAAGGTAACAGTTCATAGACAATAAATTTACTGTCTTATAGCTTAGTGTACAAAATGGATATTATATCAAACCAAGCACAGTAAAGTTTATAAATCTGGCATTAAAAAAAAAGTAACTTTCAGTTATAAATCATGAGTTAACAAAAGGGTCAGACGTTGGTTGAAATGACCAGGGCAATAAGACAGCTGATTTATGAGCCTTAGCAGCCCTGACGCAAAGCATCTGATACCAAATGCACTTTTTTTTCTTTTTCTCTTTTTCTGAGATGGATGAGTGTGTTGTTGTGTTGTATTTGGGGTTCTTGTGCCAGAAAAAGTRAAAAAAGTGAGGGAGTTAAAAAATCTTGTTAACTTACGAAGATAACATCAGAAAATTCAATTTTTTCTGTTTGCTTTGCCCCCTTGCAGAATTCCACATCTATTTATGTGGGAAGACCTCATCCAAAGGTGCCCTAGAGAATTGTCTTGGCAGAGAAGGTTCAGCTTCCATCTGGAGACTTCTTGGTACATATAAACTGCTTTGGTTGATATTAAACACAGGTTCCTCAGTAGACTGGAAGACCCTTTTCCATTTCACTTATCTCCTCTTTCAGTTGGAACMACTACTCAATTCTGAGTGTGTTAGCAAGGATTTTCCCCTATTTGCCTTTTGCTTTTGCCTAACGTTAACACAGGAGTTGCTTTATGTAATCTCATCACTTTTGTCCTTATTTCCCTCCATCTAGAATATTTTGTCTTCTCTACTTCCAATTTCATTTTTCATATCACAGAGCAAGGATTGACTGGACTCATCCCTCACCTCCATTTTCTGTGAAGTGTCGTGTCCAACTGTATAGAGCCTTGTAAATAATAAAAAAGTGAGTTTATGGCAATATTCTTTCCTTTTAATGGTGAGAAGATTATGCCTGTCCATAACAAATTGAGGTTTGTTACTSTTCTGCTTCTCTACTCCATGTTTTTTCTTCCAGTGCTCTTCAAAATACTGTAAAATCCAACTRATGTTACTAGAGTTGTTTCCTTATGTTGAATTTTGTGATGATTTTAAGTTGCAAAAAGACATGAACCTATCTGCTTCTCATCTTTTTCCTGTATTAGCATTTCCTGTTGAAGATTAATTTTTATATTCTACATCCTGTGGCTTTGAAGACTGCTTTCAGATTAACTACATCAGCCATATAGAASAGAATTATTTCTGCTGCTCAAAAGGAGCAGATTCCCCACAGTGGGGTTTAACAGAGTGTCCAGGAACACAGTGGGGTCAGAAAGAGGGGTTAAGGTTGGAAGGAACCTCTGGAAGTCACCTACTCTGATCCCTCTCTCCAAGGAGGGTCAGCCWGAAGAGTTTGTGCAGGAGTATTTGAATAAATTAGCTGAATATTGAACAGTCAGGTTTGAATAGATTCAAGGATGGAATGGGGCTGAATTTCAAAACTAAGCTCAATAATGCCCTTGGCATCCCTGCTTAAGTTCAAATGTCTGATTTTAGTGACAGGTGGGGTGTGGGAGAGGTGGGAAAGGACCTGCAGAGGTCCTGCCAGCCTAAACTTTTCTGAACTTCCCTGTGTGCACAGAGAGGACTTTGAACACACATTTGACTTGCCTGGACTACTGAACACACTCTTCAGGTGTCTGAACTACAAATCCTGCTTCTCTGGACTTCTCTTTGCTGAACCGAGAGTTTATGACCAAATAATTTTTCTACAGAATAAACCTAATACCTTTAATTGCTCTGTTTCCCTGTGAGAGAAATAAGTAGCAAGAGAGGAATTCTCCCTGCTCATCTGAGTCATGCAGCTCTTGGTTCCAAAACTGCAGACAGTAATTAGGTGTGATTTGCTGCATGACCTCACCGTTGGTGCTGGATGCTCTGTACAAACCCTTCTCCTTCAGTGGGCTATCAATGACAATGGAATTATCAATATTCACTCTCAGCATCCTCCAAGGAAAGCTAATGAAGCACTCAGCCCAGCAATGCTGTCCTTTGGCTTTTCTCAAGGAAGATTCAGCCTCTCAGAGCCATCCTGTGGTGCGTCATGCCCAGTTGGGCAGTGTGCCCACAGCTGATTGCCTCTGCTCRCTCTGAAATTGTCACTCAGACATTCTCTCTTTCCTCCCCCAAAATGTCAAAGGCGTCTCCTTTGGGTGACAGCACCAACGTCACAGTGCAAAGTAAAGAAACAGCTCATCCCAAACAAAGGTACAAAGCCCTGGGTTCGTGGGTGAGGGAGGGAGATGGGAATGGAAACTTGGGAAACTTGGGAATTGATCTGCAACTTTTTTTTTTTTTTTTTGCAATATTTTGTAGGGGGACTTTTCAAAGTTCTTATTTATTCTTTCAAGTGTTCCAGGGCAGCACTAGGCAGATAAATGACACTAGCAGGGTTAGATAAATTAATGAGATAATTCTACACATTAAATATATGTTAACCTGTCATAAAAGATTATCCTTCATTATCAGAAGAAACCAAAATTTTTGGTTTAATATGATGGCTGGTAAAGAACAAGTTGCTACTGAAGCCAAGGCAGCTTTGMAAAGAAATAGAAATAAGACACAATGAAACCAATCAAAAATGTTCCCCAAAAATATCTGCTTCTGTGTAAAATAGGATGAAATCTGATCTGTCATGCAACAGTTCTGTCCCCTGTTTTTAAGTGCTTTATGGCAAGTAAGCAGGAGTTGTTATTARTCAAGTACAGTTGACAAAACCAGGAATTTCAGAGGTGGTGTGATTTACCAGTAGCATTTGTATGAGGGATTTCTTCAGAGGATATCGCTTTTGGTGTAAAATTTTGGCTTGAATTTGGTTTACAGGAAGAGAGGTGTGCAGTAGAATGGCTTTGTATTGGCACTGTAATTGCAGATGAAGCTTGTTATTGYATAAATATCCAGCTCTTCCCTGAATTTTACTACCATTTTTAATTTAACATCTTGTTTCAATGAGTTATACATGTTGGCTGGTGTGGCAAAAAAACATTTGCACTGCTATCTGTTTTTCTRTTTTATAGGGGTTTGGGGGTTTTGCTTTGCTGTCACTGCTGGTTCAAGAGATATCTGTCCTCAGTATCACCTCAAAAGTTTACTTTGACTTAAATTTTAGCTGATTATTCAGCTTCATAACGTGATTATTAGATCTATTTCATGTTCTGAAATAGCTACTTCATTAGGTCGTATATGTAATAAGGTGGTTTTTTCTGCTACTGAATTGCATTGCCTTATTTATACCCTGAATTTCAGTGTGTACTGCAAATACTGGGTTGGAGAACAAGAAAATGAGAGGAAAAAGCTAACCATAACCTGGGCACTTGTTAACTTCCTTTTTTAAGATGCTTCCTCTGTTCAATGTGTTGATGCCTTAGGATTTTTTAGCTTCTCTATTTTCATGTATCTGTATTCTTGTACTTCTCCAGTGCACGGCACTAAAGCTGCTGTTCTCCCATCTTTAGACAAAACAATTCCTCTATAAACCCGAAATCCAAGGACACTTTGCTGCCTCAGAACCCCAAAATATGGAAACAACAGAGAGTTGGGGGGAGCAGGTTTGGGGTGGTTGACATCATCACCTGAAGGTGCCATTGGAGAATTGGGGCCTGATTTGTTAATAGGACAGAACTTATAAAAGGTGAAGATCTCGTGGCTCAGGGTCCATTTTGGGTGTAGCCTCAAGAGGTAGCCTTGTCTGCCCTCAATGTACCAGCAGGCCTGGATTAAATTTCTCAGCTTTTATTCTCTTAACTTTGTCTGGCCTCTGTCTCGGGTGAGCCTTGTTTTAGGCATCAGTGTGAGCTGTAATGCAGCACATTTAGGGTATGTTCTCCATAACCACAGCACTACAGGACATACTTGGGTGTGCACAGGAGTATTTAATGGTCTGAATTTCTTTCAGTGTTTTGTAACACCTCTGAGATGTTTTGACCCAGGGTCTCTTGTTCTGTGGCTAAAGGTGAGTTCTTGCCTGAACTCACATCCCTGTGTGATGAAAGTCATGGGTCCTTAGGCCTCTCTGAAGATATTTTATTTTGCTACAGAATTGGCAAGATCTAAAAGTTTGTGAGCACAGGATCACAGCTGCCAAAACACTTCTCTTTTCCAGTATAGTTTCCACCAGTCTGAGGGGAAAAATCCCTCTTGCTCCATGGCCCTGCTGGGCTGCCCCACTGTATCTGGGTATATTCTCCAAGTGAAGCTTGACAAGCTGGTCCCTAATTCCCCTGCTCTGGAATTCTGGTCCTCTCAGCCCTGCAGAATCACCAGCCTGAACCTTCACGCTGTTTGACRTGGAGGAAAATAAATCTGGCGTGACTGGGGCTTGGAAATCCAGCACATCAATATCTTGTGGGAATTGAATTCTGGATAACTCAGCTGCAAACAGAGGAGCAGAGAGCAGGTTCTTGAAATAGAGTTTCTTTCAGGAAAAAAAAAATGTAATGGAACTAACTATGCAATTACAGTTTATTTTTAAAACTGAAATTKTAACAGCAGTGTGTGCGTGTCTGTTCCTTTTGGGTTTGGGAGGATCAGTGTTTGTGTGTGGTTGGGTTTGGGGATTTGGTGTGTGTTGGGGTTTGTGGCGTTGGGGGTTGTGTGTTTCCTTTTTATTAGTTTGGGGTCAGTGTGTGTGGGCTTTTGTGTGTTTTTGAGGGGGTTGGTATGCTGCAGGGATAGGTGACTGCTGCATGCTATGACATTTTTAACTCTTGTTCTGTTCTTGAACTTAGACCATTCATTATTTTTTTAAGTAGGGTATTGAGGGGTTTTCCAAACCAATTATTGTCCTGGGGCTTGCTAC